TGCCATTGTAGGGGGGGGGGATTCTAAGAAACCAGTAGCCTCTGCGGGAGGGGGAAGCTAAAGGTGTTTAAAAAGGGGACTGTCCACCAATGTTCCCTCTAAGGTGTGGAGACTTGTGAGCAAAAACTCTACTTTGTGAGCTACTGGCTTTAAAGTTGTGAGCGAGCGATGTGGCTGCTGCATAAATTAGTTTGCTCTAGAGCCATCCTTCCTGAGCTAAGACAAAAATGTGTGAGCCGGAGGCTAAAAAACTGTGAGCTAGCTCACACTAGCTCAGCTTAGAGGGAACACTGCTGTCCACACCTGGAGCTCAGCCTGCTAGGACTTCGTGAGGTCCCTCACGTAGTAGCCAAACTTTCCAGGTCCCCAAGTTAATAACGGGGCGGGGGGCATTTCGAAAGCTCGCTCCAACCCCCCCCCCCACTTCACGTGCGCCCCCCGGCCCCCATTTTTAGCGACTCGGAGAGGTGGGTTGTGCCCGCGTGTTTAAAAGTCTGCTTTTGGGGTTGCGGAGCACGTGATCCGGAGCGCTTCCAAGCAGTGTTCCCGCTAAGCTGAGTTAGGTGTGAGCTAGCTCACAGTGTTATAGCCTCCAGCTCATCCATTTTTGTTTTAGCTCAGGAAGGAGGGCTCCAGAGCCAACTAATTTAGGCAGTCGCCAAATTACCTGCTCACAACTTCAATGCCAGTAGCTCACAAAGTAGAATTTTTGCTCACAAGACTCCACAGCTTAGAGGGAGCATTGCCCAAGTCGTCTCCTCTAGCCTTCCCACAGTTATGGACAAGGAGGCTAGGTTGTTAGTTTTTTAAAGGGGGTGTGTGGGTTCTAAAGGCACCTCTGGGCGATCGCGGGAGGGCGGTCAGGTCTCCTTTGCCCCTCTTGGGCAAGCAGAAGAGGGAGCGGGGAATGGGGCTTCGACACAGACACTTCAATGGAAAGACGGATTGGTATTAGAATTCCGGAGTCACGAAACCCAACGGGAGGAGATCACGTCCGCGTAGCCCCTTTAGACACCTCTGGACGCGGCTGCATCACGAATCAAAAGCCACATTCTTCACTTTCTCTTCGCCCAGCGGTGGGAAGAAACGGAAAGGCAGAAAATGAAACGCGGTCTGTAGCTGAGGTTTCTCTCCGAGCCGAGAGGGAGTCCCCCCACCCACCCCCCGCGAGCAAACTTTGGAGTTAAGCAATAGCTGACCTGCAGTCCAACTGGCCAGGAGATTCGAGGTGGGGGGGGGGAGAGAAACCATGCCTGTTTATTTGCACAAATCTTGGGAGAATCCCCCTCCCCGGCTTAAATAATTGCTCCCCTTTCCACGGACACCTTTCCGAGGCTGGGTGGGAGAATTTCTAACTTCTAAGTGTTAGAATCCCTAATTCCTGTGCGCCCCCCACCCTCCACTCCAGGCGCGGTTCCCTTTGCCCGTGAGTTGAATTCTAGCGAGAAGAAGAAACCCCGGGGTCAGCTGCGAATTAATATAAATGACTGGACGGATCCCACTGGATGATTCGACCAATATGTTTAGGTGTGAGTCCAACTGTGCGCTAGAGGGGAAGGTGGTGGGGGTAAGGTATACTTCTCTTCCCCTATAATCTTCAGACCTCTTTGCCTAATTCCTTAGATTGAAGATAGGAAGAGTTTGACCCTCAGGGTCCGAGGGAGCTGGGTTTCATTAACTCTTGAGGCCCCGGAATGGAACCCAGGTTAACGACACTACGTTATGGGTGGGAGTGTAAATACAATACAAATATATATATATATATATATATATATTGGGGGGGGAAGCGAGGTAAAAAGGAAAAACTGGGGGGAGGCGAAGTAGAGCCAATATTTACATCTTTCCCCAATTGTTTTCCCGAAAGTTAGTTCGAGTGGAAGAGGATCTCTTTGTGAATGCAGAGGGAAAACTCCATAGCCCGAGCTAACGCATATTGACTAGGGGAAGCAAGTCCTGTGAGGCACATCGGCCTTGCTCCTGCGTAAGGGTGTACGGGAGAGCAGGCTTCACCAATGGCAAACTACCACGCATAGGCAGGGTTTGAGTTGGAGCTTTAAAAGAACTATGCTAATAGCGTTCTAGTACCTCTAGTCCCTGTCTGTCTCTTTTCTTCATGGAATCCTTTCCGGCAGATGAAGGGGAGAGGATCACGTAGAAGGGAGACATTCTCTTTATTCAAGGGAAGAAAACTTACCTGTTTGGAAAACCTGTAGTTTACCTCTGCAGCCCGGTATTTATTGGAATCAATTAATTCACCGAGGAGTCAGGAGAAATAAAATGGCAGTTAATAGATCAACCCCCAACCCTTTTATAAACTTATAGTAATATGTGGCCCAGCGTCAATATTTATTATATATAGGGATTCCCTACATCTCAAAGGTCTTTCAGCTGACAGGGACAGCTATGTTTCTGGGTGCTGAATTGTTCAATATTTTGAAGGTGTTAAGATTCACCAGTCCCTCCCCCCACTTTCTCAACACAGCGAGAGGCACGGAAACCAAAAATGTGAAAGAATTGTCAACTTGGTCTCTGTCACCAGACTTTTAGAATATTTTTTTCCCTCTTCTGATCTTCACCCAAATTAATTCCTTCAGTGCTATTTCATTCAACGACATATTTTTAAAAAGCAGGTTCTATTCCATACACACACACACACACACACACACACACACACACACACACTCTTCCAAAATACTCTCATCTACATATTTAAATAGTGTGTTCCTCTCTTGAAAAGAGAGGCCACTCCACTTCCATGTGGAGTGTAAATTGCCGTGTATCTACTTTTTATATGCAACACACAGTCTTTTTGGTAACCCGAGACTGATTCATTCTTTCCAGGGGCTTCAGGTGTTCTGGGCCAGTGTGTGTT